ATATATATATATATATATATATATATATATAAACCATGCCAAACCAAACTAAGCGCTCAGGAATCGTCAACCACTCTGCTCCACAAGCTTACGGAGATAGTCGGAAGATCACCAAGAGCTTGCGACCTGGAAATGCCCAAACTGGCGGCCCCAGCCAAATCGACACTATTGGCTGGAAGGTTTGCCACCCAGCTCATTGGACACCGGGACCTGGTGTGGCCCTGTTTCCCAGCTGTGTCCACCCTCCTCCTGGGTTCAGCCAACGATCCCTTAAATTTGTGGGCTCCGGTTGCCTCCTACGCGGCCATCACGAAAGTCAAATGGCTCACGGAGCAGGGCTTTCCCACCGTCCCTCCTCTAGAACCCAGTTTGTCAGCTGTTTTAGGGGTTAGGGTTGATGCAGACTTCTGTACCTCTGTGTCTCTTCCTGAATCTTCTCTGTGGTTCGCTGGGGTTTAGGGCTCTTATCATCTCCCTAATTGACATTAGAACACAAAGCATCAACAATAACATGGTTGTGTTATTATTGCTCACAAACATTATCTAGGCTGAGAGATAAAAGTTTAACTGGTCAACAATATCCTTTTGAGCCTGCATCAGAATATCCTTTACAGCTTACTTACCTCTACTAAGGGCTAGCATAGCGATGTTGTTGGTTGCTGCCCCCACCTGCGACGAGCACTGATGAATTCTGTCCGTCAGCTTCGCGGTGAGCTGGTTACCGGAGAATGGCGGGATGATACGTCGGCCAACGTATTTCTCTGCTCTTACCTCAGTGAATCCAGGGACCTGCTGGTGGAATGTGAGGGACACTATGCCAGTGCTATCAAACTGGCAACCAGGTATCTGTGTGTGCAACAAGCATCATCCACACCCTCAGAGCGAACATTTCCTATTGCTGGAGACACCGTCAGCCATGAGCGGGCTCGTTTGTGTCCAGAGAAAGCAGACATGTTGATTTTTCTGAAGAAAAACTGCTAAGTGACATGGTCCTCCTCAATGTGTAGCAGTGAGCAATAGACACTGACGTGTCACTGGTTTGCAACTGTTCTATTGACCTGGAAATTATTTGTTTATGCTTATGTAAGAAAATTGCTTGGAATGGAAAAATAGCAAAGTTAAAAAATAAAACTCACGATTTGTACTATAATGTGTAATGTAATTTTCTTCTTGTTAGAATTTATATTGATTACAAAATTGGTACCGAAAAAAGAACCGTCCAGGAACCGACACCGAAGTGAAGGTACCAACACCGGTACCGCTACCGAATTTTTTAGAAAGGTACCCAGCCCTAGTAATAGGTAAACGTGGCTATAATGACAGATTCAAAAAAGTTCAGGACAAAAACAATTGGACTTTATTTATTATACTTTACTTTATAATGTATTCTTTTTTCTTGAACTTTTTTGAATTTACCATGTCCTGTATGACTGAGAATGTTTACCAGCTATTAATGACACAATTGGCTTGCCATAGACCCTCACCATCATTCTGCTTGCTGCTTGGACCCACCGTCAAACCAGCTGCACCACCCTGGCGAAGTGCAGCTAATTTGACCAGTAAAGTGCATTTATTAAGCAAACATTAGACTGAGACACACCTTTGCTATAATTTAGAGCAAACAAATAATTATTTAGGTGCATTTCTTGTTAAATTGCAAAGAAACGAGCAGCGTTCTTCCTTCCTGATTTCCTCCTCCTGCGCGCTCCCGGAGCACCGAGGTAGCATAACTATTTTTGAAATTCAGCTGATTTGACCATTAAAGTGCATTTATTAAGCAAACATTAGACTGAGACGCACCTTTGCTATAATTTCAAGCAAACAAATAATTGTTTTTAGGTGTTTATCTTGTTAAATTTTGAAGGAACGAGTAGCGTTCCTTCTTTTTTTTTCCTCCCTCTGCGCGCTTCCAGAGCACCTCAGCAGCAAAACTATTTTTGAAATTCAGCTGATTTGACCATTAAAGTGCATTTTTTAAGGAATAGTTCTGTAGTGAACTAAGCCTCAGGTCAAATCTGGCCATGAGGGCCTTTCTGGGACAAGAACTGTTATTTCATTGATTTGAGTCCAGAAACACAAAATTAAGTTCATCCAGAGACTTTCTAAGTGTCCTGCACTGATCAATTGAAAGAACACTCTCTTTTTATTATCATTACTATTTTACAAATGTCGCGATAATCAAAAGTGTGTTTAGTTCAAACCATTTTTAAATGTTGAAGTGAACTACTCATTTTAAATCAACTGTGAAACAGTATTAATGATTTTTAATCCTCATTCAAAGTAGAAATCATTTTAATGTTTGTTACAAAAGTAATTATTCATTTTCTTGATCTTCTGTCTGAAATGAGCAAGTGTAAGTTGGTCAAAGGTCAAGTTTCGGTCAACTACAAGTTTACTGGAAAGAAATGTCATGTTTAACTTTTTCAGACAGATATGAGAGAATTGACTCCACGAAGTCTCGGGTTCTTCAAAACATCTTCTGTCTGTTCTTAAACAATCTAATCTTTTTCCCTTGACTTTTAATAACCTCTTACATCACTAAAACACACCCCTGTTTGGCGTATCGACCAATCAGGAAGCTCTCAGAGGAACCGGAAGTGACCTCTTTAAAAGGTTCAACACTTCCTAGTTCCAAGAGAGTGCGAGAGAGTGCGGAGAGAGAATGCAGAGTTCAGAATGCTGGAGAACAACGGCAACTAAGCTGAACGAGAGAAGTTCAGAGGAACTATGAAGAAGTCTGTTCTGGGATGATCTCACGACTCCGAACGGTTCCCTACTATCCTTACGGAGACGCTGGAAAGCGTTGGAAGAGAACTCTACACCGAGGCCGAACTATCGTCTGCAAAGGTAAAAGAGTCGATCTTCAACCGCAAAGTGTACCGTTGGTTAAGCTGGGTCCAAAGGAGCGTGTTGTTCTGGTTATAACAGACAAATTCCCTCACCCATCTCTCTCAAGATAAACTTCATTTTCCCTCTTTAAAACTATTCTATCCTGCCAGTAATTAATCCAGATATTTTCAGAAATGTCTGTTGGTTTAAAGTTGCAAGGGAAATCATGGCCGTATGGTTTCCTGACTGTAAAGCTAATTAATTAAGCTGTTATTGTAATCAATTTTGCCAAATTAATGTAAATGTTTGATGTTAAACTTTGATTCTGTTAATAAATGACCGCATTCATTTTGATGGGTCAAAGAAAATTAACGTCTCACGTCACATTTAATAATTCAATGCACGATATTATTCAGTCCAGAAAAATGAAAGAATCCGTTTAATTTATGAATATATCACAGATATATGTTCATCTACAACTCAACTGAGACACACCTTTGCTATAATTTCGAGCAAACAAATAATTGTTTTTACATGTTTATCTTGTTAAATTTGCAGAGTGACTCGTCGCATGCATGCGTTTATTTCTGCGTTATCGGCTTTACAAATACAGCTGAGTTGACTGTCAAAGTGCATTTATTAAGCAAACGTTAGATTGAGACACACCTTTACTATAATTTAGAGCGAACAAATAATTGTTTTTAAGTTGTCCTGAGCCTGGTTCTACTGGAGGTTTCCTCCTTTTAAAAGGGAGTTTTTCCTTTCCACTGTTGCCGCTGTGCTTGCTCAGGATGGGAGACTGCATCGAAGCCAAGATTCAACTTGTCTGCTGGATTCCTTAGCTAGAGAACTTTACTAATTGGCTTTTATGTATGTGAATGTTTCTGTAAAGTGCTCTGAGACAACTTTGTTGCGATTTGGCGCTATATAAATAAACTGAATTCAATTGAATTGAATTGAAGTGTTAATCTTGTTAAATTCTTGTTAAAGTCCTCCCGTGCATGCTCCCGCGGCCACCATTTGGCAGGTCATCAATTTTTGGCACAACACCGGCCCACATTTCCGGATTCGGACCACATTTCCGGGTTGTCAGCGTTGATACGTAACAAACGTGACACATCAGTAGTGAGGCAAAATAGATGCGATGTATGTGGCGAAGCAACATATTTATGGATTTTTCCACTTTATTAGACAAATATGGATTGATGCAACTTATACGGCGGAGCAACGGTTATGACTGAAAATACGGTATTATTAGGGAAGACCATTCAAGACTAAAGATGGACTTTCGTTCAGACCTTTTACTAGGAGGAAATTTTAGTAAATGGACTTCAGTGAGTTTTAATTGAATACCCCGCCGTAGAGACTATCAGAACATAAAAATTATCAGACCATACAGACTATCAGAACATAGAACGTATCGGACTGTAGTGTCTCAGGCTGCAAATTGTAGAGCCCATCAGACCGAAGAGCCTGTCAGACCGAAGAGCTCGTCAGACCGAAGAGCCCGTCAGACCGACGAGCCCGTCAGACCGAAGAGCCCGTCAGACCGTAGAGCCCGTCAGACCGCAGAGCCCGTCAGACCGTTGAGTGTATCATGCAGACTGATGGACTCGCAACCTCAGCTCCAACAGCATATACCTTTGTATTCTTGCCAATAATTGCACAGTAACGCATTATTTGGTTGACAAAAGGAGATCAACTAAATGGTGTCATGCAAAAGTGTAGAAGTTTAATATTAACTAATGTAACATTCTATCACACCAGTATTTCTAAATATTTTGAACACTATAATAAAAGCTAAGTAAGGGTCATGTTGAATATTTTTATTGAAGGTTACGTTGTTGAATTCCAAATGTCCTTGATGTTTGATCTCTTTTTTTCTTTGTTTTGGATCTTTAGGTGGAGAAAGTGATGCTCGCAGACACGTTCTACTTTTCCATCATCAGGGAACCTGTGGCTCTGGCTGAGTCTTCCTTCGCCTATTATAAAGAAGTTGCTCCAGCATTTCGGAAAGCCAAAGGATTAGGGGACTTTGCTGATGACCCTAGGAAATTCTATGACCCTCATCTCCGCAACAACCACTACGCCAAAAATCTGCTGTGGTTTGACTTTGGCCTGGATCACAATGCTAATTTTTCCTTGGCATTGGCTCGGCGTGGGGAGGACTTGATCCGACAGACCTTTAAGCTGATTTTAGTGTCTGAGTACTTTGACCAGTCGATGATTCTCCTGAGGCATGCTCTCTGTTGGCCGCTGGACGCCGTTGTTTCATTCAGCCTTAATGCTCGACAGCAGAAGCCAAGCATCAATGGAGGAATGAGTGGAAGCTGGGTAGGCAAAGCAGCTGCTGGCGTTGGTCTTAAAGGTGGGAATAAACAAGCAAAAGTGCCCCCAAATCAGTCACTAACAGAGAATCAGCGGGAAAGGTTGCGACAATGGAACGCCTTAGACTGGTCCTTGTACAGAGCCTTCAACAGGACCTTCTGGGAAGATGTCAACAGGTTTGGTCATACTCAAATGGAGCGAGAGGTAGCTCTGCTCAGGATGCGTCGGGAAGTTTTGGCTCGAGTTTGTCTCAGAGATGGAGGGAAGCCTGTAGAGGCTCACCGGATCAGAGATAAAAACATCCGGCCTTTCCAGAGCGGTTTAGTGAAAATCCTTGGCTATGAGCTGCAGCCTGGGCTGGACAATGTCACCCGGACGTCCTGCGTGAGGATGATCAGGCCTGAGATCCAATACAAAGACTTGTTAGACTTCAAGCAGTTTCCACAGACCTCTGTCGTCCAGGTTCCGCCAGGACAGCAGAACCAGGTCCTTATGGTAGCTGTCGGTGGAGCCTTTTTAAGTCTGGATTCATCCAGGAAAAGAGAGACTAAAGAGGAGGGCAATAAAGACTGGGATAGAAGTAATTTCTTCAAGAGGAACCAAACTTTAGTACAAATGCATGAAAAAAGAATGTTTAGATAGTTTTACTGCGTTTATTTACACACGTGTGTTTCTGCCTGTTTTCCTCTCATTTGTAAGCCGTGTATTTTCTTCTTGGACGTTTTTATTGCTGTAGACCATATGTGTCAAACTCAAGGCCTGGGTGCCAAATGTGGCCCTCGTTGACATCTTATCTGGCCCCCAAGATGTTATTTTAAATGTAAAATACTTTTATCACTTTAATTTTTTCAGTAATCTTTGATTTTGATGTCAAAAGTACAACAGAGAACGTCGAATGAGACCAATTAAACTCTTGTTGAGGAACCTGCAACCAAGAAAAGATGTTGGGTATCTAACTGGAGTTAATGTAGATTCTGAATCCGGCCCTTAGTTTGAAAAATGTTTTAATTGTGGCCCCCTTTAATAAGTGGGTTTGCCACCCCTGCTGTAGACAAAGGTTGTTTGTACCGGTTTTTTTTTTTTTTTGCTTGTTTTTTATAAGATGCATTCTTCAAATATGGACATGGCCTTGATATCACTCTTTATTTGAGAGCAGACACATGAACATCTGTGTTCTGACCATATTCATCAACCACAACATTAAAACCACTTTTCTAACTGTGTCGGACCCATTTTGCCACAAAAGTATTTTTGAAACATCAGGGACATTTTGTGGTTTTGGTAAAACCAGGCTGAAAAGGCATCTTAAATATTGTAAGAGTGCCATTCCTTAGTGGAATGCATATCACTCGCTGCCTCCTAGCATTTTCAATTTTTTGGTAAAATCTTAAAAACAATGTTACGCATGATCTTACATAATATTTTGATGCTAGGAGTATGTGTTTTCTCCCACAATATTCAATATCTGTACAACTCACTTTGTTACTGCCATTTTCTGTAGGCTGATTAGCTCTGGTAACCATCTTGAATTGGGTTCATTCCAAAGTTACTTTGAAAGTGTCAGTTCAATTCCGTTTATTTGGGGTGCATCACGCCAGCCCTGTTTAGTCTGCTTTAAACTATTTCGTTTGCCTGGAAAGTCTGGTTCGTTTGGAGAGGTGTGAATGTGCAATGAAACTCTGATCTGCTTAAATACCTAGGTCTCAGTTCGGTTGAAGTGAACTCTGGTGCGGTTTGAGTGCATTGTGAATGCAAGCGGACCAAAGACTTCTCCAAATGCAGGAAGTGGACTACAGCGCAGGGCATTCTGTGTAAATATGCGCATTTCTTGTACCTTATACGGAAACGTTAGCCACCTTGCAGGACTTAATTCGTAAACCAATTTATGCCAGCACACAAATAGCTTGGGGGGGGGGGGGGGTGTCCGTGGGTCATTCCCCAGAAAATTTGGAATAAAAAAAGATGCCATTTCCTGCATTTTGGTGTATTTTAACAGGTTGTTAAACATCTGTAAACATTTGATTAAATTGATTAAAAACAGGTCTCTCTTGTAAATGAGTCCTCAAGGTTCAATGAGACTAACAACCTGTATAAATAAAGGTTGAATTGAAATTCTGTCCCGATTCTGTCAAGCATCCCCCCCACACACACACACACACGCGCACACACACTCACTGTCCGACCCAAACTTTTCTCAGCTGAATTCAGTCCTGCGCGTTGTTCTGCTCCAGTCTCTATCACCACTGCCTTCAGGTGCTTCAATTCTCTGTTGTCCAGCTAAGGACAATCCATTCATCCATTTTAAATAATAAATTGGACTGTCTTTTTGACATTTGATCACTGTTATTTGACAAATTAATGCCATTGTTTTAAAACGTGATGTAATGTGAATAATATACATCAAACATTTCAGTCATTTTCTTTTTACTGTAAGCTTTTTTATAACTGGGAGGAGACCCTGGGGAAGACCCAGGAAACGCTGGAGAGACTGTCTCTCGGTTGGCCTGGGAACGCCTTGGAATCCCAGAAGAGGTGGCTGTGGAAAGAGATGTCTGGGCCTCCCTGCTCAAGCTGTTGCCCCTGCGACCCGACTTCGGAATAAGCAGAAGATGATGGATGGATCTTTGAAATGTATGCAGGAGTTCTGATACATCAGCGGTTGTGCGCGCTCTGCAGAGCTTTCTGGAGATGCTCTTGTGCGTAAAATGTGCAAAGTCTCGGCACACAGCTGAAGGTGGATGAAGACACTCATCCCTGCGGGACATGTGGGCTGTGTCTGCTGGGCATGAGCGTGCGCACGAGCTGGTGCACCTGCTGCGGCTGGAACATTCTCTCCACAGAACGTCTCCTCTCGTTGTATTTTTAATAAAGACTCAAAATAAAAATGCGCAATGACTTTGGACTTTTTTATGGGCGGAGATTTAAGTTGCCGGATCCGAGCAGTCAAAATGAGAGTTCCTGGATTTTGTACTGGCAGGATCTGGCTCAAATTAACCACTTCCACCTTGTGTTAAAAACAACATTCTCCATGGTTTTCTGCCTCATCTTATGCTCATGAATCCATTTTTGGAAAATGTTTGTTTGACACATATGCCACAGACAAAACAGAAATCCTAAAACCGCTAAAATTTGATGCCACTCCATTTTTGTTTTTATTTCTAGAAGTAAGTTGTGCTCAATGTCTTCTTCATTGGTTTTTGTGCCATTTCCTTCAGTAGTTATTTGTGCAGCACCACCACAGGTGGGGGGGGGGGGGCAGGTTGGCTCGATTGACAGTACAGTGTGAATGTGAACCACATCAGCTGAAAATGTAAACAAATATTCCCAATTTTGGTCCCCAATCGAACTGAGTCTACCGGACTATCAGACCTTATATTATATAGTGTCATGTCACAAAAGAAGTCATCTCAGGGCACTGAACAGAAAGTTTATAACATCATTTATCTGAGGAGTAGACTGCTTTGAGTTCAATTTCATCGCAGACTCGAGCAAGCCTGAAGATGACAGTGGAAAGGAAAAACTCCCTCGTGAGGAAGAAACCTTTAGCAGAACCAGGCTCAAGACAAGCGGCCATCTGCTTCAACCGGCTGAGTTTGGTAAGAACAGATACACAATGGCAGGTCAAGAAACACCTGTTAAGATAGAAATCGTATCTAATCGTAGCTAATATAAGATTATATGTAAAGGTAAAATAGTTAGAATTAGTAAACATTTTCTATAAATATAGTTCAACCCTTGAAGAAAGACACACACACACTTTGTATAACATGACATTTGAATGCTTGATAGGAAATATAAAAAGGTATAAAAATATGAAATCCAACAATAGACATCTAATACACCACCTACAAAACAATACGAGAAGAACAAAAAAAGAATGAGAAAACTGAATTAGAAAATCAATTGCTTAAATTACAGCTGCAGGAAGTTAAACAAAAAGCAACAAAGAAGAAGGAGAGGACAGAGAATGTGATGGTTGCAGTGGCTTTACAGCCGACGCCTTCTCCTGCTTGGGCACACTATACTAATCAATATCCTGGAGGAGTAGTCAAGTCAAGTCAACTTTATTTATAGAGCACATTTAAAACAGAACCTGTTATCAAAGTGCTTAACAACAACAACAATCAATGAGAGTAAAATTAAAAAGAAAAAAAAATATATATATATCTAAAAAAGTTAAATCTGGTCTTCTGGACATTCAAAAAAACAAAACTAAGCAAAACAAAAAAAAAATGTAGAAACGTTTCGTCTCTCATCCGAGAGACTTCCTCAGTCTGAGGTGCTGTATTCAGCTCAGTCTCTTAAATAGCACCTTCTCAGAGTGGATCAACCAGTTTTGCTGCTGACAACCAAAACCAGCTGATCACATGCTCAAGAAGGACCATCAGCCTAACAATGGATCATTAGCACACTGATGGCTGTTTACTATTCACAGAGGGCTGAGTGATACTAGCAATCACAGCATTGTAAGAGGGGGACAATTGAACACGTAGGCCTCCACCCCTGTTTAACGATGGACGGTTTCTTTTCACAAAGATGGCCTCCTTTACTCCTCTCTCAA